TAAGTACAACTTATTAAAGCTCCGTATCTGAATTCGTGTAACTAACTGCGGATAAACATAAATACATAATCAAATACAGAATAAACATCTCATTTTTAAATATAAAAAATATAAAATATAATTAAGATAATCATTAAATTTTAACTGATAATTATTATCTTTATAAAATGTTATATGTTAGGACTGAAATTCAATGTAAAATTGTATTCGTCTTAAAAGTTAAAATTATCTATAATTGTATAAAGGTCACCGTGTTTGACTTTTATGTATGTTTGACTTTGACTTTCTAGACTATCATCTTTGACCCTATATAAAGGTTATTCTTTGTAATTTTAGTGTAAGAGCTCATTTGTAATATCTGATTACGTAAATAAAGTTTGACCAGATTAATGCTTTTACTTTTTCTCTCTACTCTCTCAAAGTGTTCTTAATGCAATATCAAGATTCTGCCATTGATTCATTGAAAGTTTATGAAGATTGATTCAAAGGGAACAACAATTGATATCAGAGCAGGTTTGCAAGAAATCAGAGAAGAAATTAACACTTTTTGAGGGATTTTTTCGAAGATAATTTTCTAAATTTTTTTCGTGTTCTTCAACTTGTTCTTATTTTTCTTTAAGTTTGATCCGTTTTTCTTTAAAAATCTTGTGTTTTTGTGTTTAAACTGTGATCAATCTGCTCGGAATTAAATTGTGAATCTTTGTTAAAGACAAAGTCTTGTGATTTGATCATTTTTTTTGAGTTTTTGATGATTTTGTGTTTTTAAAATTCTTCGTGTTCTTGAAAAGTTTTGAATTTTTTTGGATTTTGATCCATTTTTGTATGAATTTTTTGAAGTTTTTGTGTTTGTGTCGTAGTTTGATAATTTTTTTTAAAATCTTTCAAAATTTTGTTATTGGATGATCGGACTCTCTAAATCGCTCAATCAAAGTAATCGGAGATATCTAAATATCCTGTTATTAGCAATCTTGAGTATATTTCAGCCCAAGGCCCATTTGGTTTACAGCCCATACCTCATCTTCATCGCTTGCTTCTTGACCGGATATTGGTTTTATCGCACGCTTCTTGACCGGATATTGGTTTTATCGCACGCTTCTTGACTGGATTTCAAGTTCCTCGTGTATTCCATCAAATTTCAAGGGATAAATCGCTCATGGTTCCACCGGTTTATTGAATCGCTCATCTCATCTACAGGTTATGCTTATCGCACAAAGGATTTTAACCGGATTTCTAAATCGATCAGACTTACTGTCCGATTTAATTTACATCGATCATCACTCTACTCGATTTATGCTAAATTGCTCAAAGATTCGATCAATTTACTCCATTGTTTAACAGCTTCAGTCAGTTTTGATCTAAATCGCTCGACACTGAACCGATTGTGACCTAAATCGATGAATACTATGATCGGTTTTGTTTAAATCGCCTGTAGTTGTAATCGATTTTGCTTAAATCGCCTGTAGTTGTGATTGGTTTTGTTTATATCGCTCAACACTAAACAATTTTGTTTATCTTATATCGCACACCACTATAATCGATTTGTGTAAATCGCCTGACTTGAGCGGATTTGTCTAAGTCACCTGTAGCAGTGACCGGTTTAGGAATTGGCTTAAAGTAAAACAAGTTGTCCGGATTTCCATTAAATCGCTTGGTACTGTCTTTACTTTGCTGATTGGCATAGGCAGCAATTGATGTCTTAATTGATGTTGTAATTGATGTTTAATTGTGATTGTTGTTGTAATTGATGTTGTGTTTGGTTTGAATGGGGAACTTCCTGTTTTTGATAACATAAGAAAATGTGTAACACCCATAGGCCCTGCAACATTCAAGAAGTCTTTCAGGTTGTTGCGTTTCTTTTTCTTTAGATTTAGAGTTGTATATGGAAGCATCATCTTTCTCAAGTCTGCTTGCAATTGTTTGATTCGAAACCTAAATTGCAGAATCTGTTTGATTTCAATTTAGTTGCTCACAGTTTTAATCTGTTTTTGAGATTTTGTTTGAGGTTTATCAAGTTAGGGGTTGAGGGAATCTACAGACAGAATGTTGCTGGAGGATTGAAGATGTTGATTGGAGGATGAAGAAGATTGTGGAAGGAAAAAAAGCACACATTTTTTATCTACAGACAAATTTTTGAGTATCTGTTGGTATAAATTGCATAGAGTGTTAGAGTTTTGAGTTGTTCGTTTTTGAGTTGAACTGTAGCAATCAATCTCAGTTGACACAGTGGTTTCCTGTTTTGAGGGTAGTTCTGATTCATCTTACATATGGAAAGGGACTATCAATTGGTTATAGATCACAGAGATCAACACTTTGTTTTGTGTAACATGGTCTGGTGATGGATGCTCAGATTGTTGAGAGCTGCAGACAACACCCTTCATAACTGTTTTAGTTCATTTGGGAAAGCATTGCTGTCAATCTTTGCTCAAGTTTTTGAAGCTATCCGATTTTGTGTTCCTTGCACAGAGTCTTAACCTTAATCAAAGGCCTACCTGTTGGTTTTTGGCTTGGATTTTTTTTGTTTTGGGCCGTTTTTGTTTAGCCCATCTTATCTTGTTTTAGCTATATAGTTATAGTATTTTTTTTTGTGTTATAATTTTAGATCTGTTTTTATCTGCTTTTGTTTTGTGTTTAAACTGTTTCAGAATCTTTGAACTATTTTTCGTCGCGTAAACTATTTCTTATCAGTTTTAACTGTTTTTAACAGTTTTTAATTATTTTCAACAGTTTTTACTGATTTTTGACGGTTTTTCGTTGTTTTTCTAATTCCTCATCAGTTTTTGTGTTTTCTGTTTTGTTTTTGAGCATAACTGATTTTGATTTCTTTTATCTGATTTTACAGCATTTGATCCTTAATCAATCTGTTGAAAAATGACAATTTCATTGGAGAGAGAGAATAAAGAATTTGAGAGAGAGAATTTCTGAATTGGAAAAGAGAGTAGTGGACTACAAAGAAAAATACATTAATATGTTTGATGAAAACTTCGCAGATAAAGAATTCATTAAGAATTTGCAAAAACAAAATAAAGTTTTGTGAGAAAATACTGAAGGAGATGTATCAGTAAAGATCAATGAACTTGAAAAAAATTTGGATACAATAAGGAAAGAATGTGAACTAGAATTGAAAACTTGGAGTAAATCTAACAAAGATCTATTTGATAAACTCCAAAAAGTTCAGAGTGAACTTAATGCTGAGAGAACATCTCTAAGGAGTAATATTGAGACTGAGACTGATTTGAGTGAATTGAAAAAGTTATTGAAGTTAGAGAAGGAAAAAGTTCAAGAGACTGAGAATAGTTTAAATTTTGAGAGAATAGAGTTTGAGAAAGAGAAGAAGAGATTTTCTGAAATAGAGAAGAGATTCGGCGCTGAACGAATATCTTATGAAGATAAGATAAACTCTCTTGAGCTGAATGCCAAAATGCTGTTAAAGCAAATCTCAGATTTTGAGCAGCTGATAATCTTGGAACGAGCCAAGAATGATAAAGAGAAGAAAGACATCAAAGAAGAATATCTGAGCCAGAATCAGAAATTATCTAACAGCATTGCTCTAAAGCATAAGACTTTAGATGAAGAGAAGAAACAATTTGCTCTTGAGAAGAAAAATACTACAAAGAAACATATAGCTATTGCTAAAGAGCTCACTGAAAAGAAAAAGTGGCTTGACATCGCTTCTGAAAATGAGAAGAGCTACTCAGATGAAGATAGAAGAGAGTTTATAAATTAGAAGAAGAAGTTTGAAATGCTTAAGAAGGAGTTAGAAGGTAAACTCCTGGATATTACAAAAAAATTGTCTGATTTGAAGACAGAACTTGAAACTGAATTGAAGATGAGAACTGAACTTAAAAATAAGTATGATTTACTTACTGTGGAAAGAGACCAGCTTTTACAGAAAGTCAAAGATTTTTCTTATGCTTAAAGTTCAACTGGTTCTCCTTCTCAGTGTAAAACCAGCTTCTATGACTATTCCAAATCGAACAGTAGTTATTCAAGCAGCCCTAAAATCTACTGTTTCTAAGAACTATTCTCGTTCTTCTAACAAGTACTATCAAGGGTATGTCATTGGATCACCCAATTATTCTTCTAAGGTTAAAAGCATTTGGGTCAGTAAATCTGAATCTGTTTCATCCTGTACCCCTGTTGTTACTAATAATCTTCCTTGTTTTGTAAGATCTACTATTGATTTAATTCA